CTGCCTCTCACCACTCCACCCACCCACCTGCCTCTCACCACCCTTCACCCACCTGCCCTCACCACCACCCACCCACCTGCCTCTCACCACACCACTCCACCCACCCCGCCTGCACCACTCCACCCACCTACCTGCCTCTCACCACCCACCCACCCACCTGCCTCTCACCACTCCACCCACCCACCTGCCTCTCACCACCTACCCACCTGCCTCTCACCACCCACCCACTGCCTCTCACCACCCACCCACCCACCTGCCTCTCACCACCCACCCACCCACCTGCCTCTCACCACCCACCTACCCACCTGCCTCTCACCACTCACCCACCTGCCTCTCACCACCTACCCACCTGCCTCTCACCACCCACCTACCCACTTGCCTCTCACCACCCACCCACCCACCTGCCTCTCACCACCCACCTACCTGCCACTTGCCTCTCACCACCCACCCACCCACTTGCCTCTCACCACCCACCCACCCACTTGCCTCTCACCACCCACCCACCCACTTGCCTCTCACCACCCACCCACCCACTTGCCTCTCACCACCCACCCACCCACTTGCCACTCACCACTCCACCCACCCACCTGCCTCTCACCACCTCCACCACCACCCACCTGCCTCTCACCACCTACCTACCTGCCTCTCACCACCCACCCACCTGCCTCTCACCACCTACCCACCTGCCTCTCACCACCTACCCACCTGCCTCTCACCACCTACCCACCTGCCTCTATAGCTTGTTATCTTAGGTCAACAAAGTGTCAATGTTGTGTTATTTATTTCCCTAAACCACCGCAAATTTTACGGACAGAACGATTGCATAAAAGTTGACGTGTGTCGAGTGAGAGGACAGGTCGCGTCGAGTGAGAGGACGGGTCGTGTCGAGTGAGAGGACGGGTCGTGTCGAGTGAGAGGACGGGTCGTGTCGAGTGAGAGGACGGGTCGTGTCGAGTGAGAGGACGGGTCGCGTCGAGTGAGAGGACGGGTCGTGTCGAGTGAGAGGACGGGTCGTGTCGAGTGAGAGGACGGGTCGTGTCGAGTGAGAGGACGGGTCGCGTCGAGTGAGAGGACGGGTCGCGTCGAGTGAGAGGACGGGTCGTGTCGAGTGAGAGGACGGGTCGTGTCGAGTGAGAGGACGGGTCGCGTCGAGTGAGAGGACGGGTCGTGTCGAGTGAGAGGACGGGTCGTGTCGAGTGAGAGGACGGGTCGCGTCGAGTGAGAGGACGGGTCGTGTCGAGTGAGAGGACGGGTCGTGTCGAGTGAGAGGACGGGTCGCGTCGAGTGAGAGGACAGGTCGTTTTGTCGAGTGAGAGGACGGGTCGTGTCGAGTGAGAGGACGGGTCGTGTCGAGTGAGAGGACGGGTCGTGTCGAGTGAGAGGACGGGTCGTGTCGAGTGAGAGGACGGGTCGTGTCGAGTGAGAGGACGGGTCGTGTCGAGTGAGAGGACGGGTCGTGTCGAGTGAGAGGACGGGTCGTGTCGAGTGAGAGGACGGGTCGCGTCGAGTGAGAGGACGGGTCGTGTCGAGTGAGAGGACGGGTCGCGTCGAGTGAGAGGACGGGTCGCGTCGAGTGAGAGGACGGGTCGCGTCCAGTGAGAGGACGGGTCGCGTCGAGTGAGAGGACAGGTCGTTCTGTCGAGTGAGAGGACGGGTCGTGTCGAGTGAGAGGACAGGTCGTGTCGAGTGAGAGGACGGGTCGCGTCGAGTGAGAGGACAGGTCGTGTCGAGTGAGAGGACAGGTCGTGTCGAGTGAGAGGACGGGTCGTGTCGAGTGAGAGGACGGGTCGCGTCGAGTGAGAGGACAGGTCGGGTCGAGTGAGAGGACAGGTCGGGTCGAGTGAGAGGACAGGTCGGGTCGAGTGAGAGGACAGGTCGGGTCGAGTGAGAGGAGCCAGCCGGACACCGTTGACGTGCAGGCGAGGACAGGGACGTGCAGGCGAGGACAGGGACGTGCAGGCGAGGACAGGGACGTGCAGGCGAGGACAGTGACGTGCAGGCGAGGACAGGGACGTGCAGGCGAGGACAGGGACGTGCAGGCGAGGACAGTGACGTGCAGGCGAGGACAGGGACGTGCAGGCGAGGACAGGGACGTGCAGGCGAGGACAGGGACGTGCAGGCGAGGACAGGGACATGCAGGCGAGGACAGTGACGTGCAGGCGAGGACAGGGACGTGCAGGCGAGGACAGGGACGTGCAGGCGAGGACAGGGACGTGCAGGCGAGGACAGGGACGTGTTCAGCACCATAAAGTTATTAACACCTCGACCTTCAGAATCTCCGGCTAAGTTATCCTATGAATACATTAGTGTTGTTGAGTGTGCTGAAGTAGTTAATAAACGGCCTCTCATCCTACACTGTGGTAAGCGAGGTTTAGGCAATTTCCACTCTTTAAATTATATGAGGTACTTCTTAGTATGGAGGTGAATTATGGCAAATAATTGCAAATATTATGTAGTGATTATCGCCGGATCTAACAATTATAATAATGACTGTGTTCATTTATTATGCATGTTGATGTCAATTATTAATGATATGTTTATTATACCCACTGGAGGTAAATCTGTAAAGTTCTATTTATTGAGGAATATTATTTGTTTGAGAAGATTATTTCATTATCTTACATATCCTTGCTTACTGCCAGCGTAAGTCATGCTTTTATGCTACGCTGCCACTAACTCGGTCACACACTACAGAGAAGACGAACACTGTGGCCCCCTTACCACAACTATAGATATTAACACTAGATAAAACACCCAGCACCGCCACACATACTGTAACATCATTCGTATTTGCCAACATTCGGGGAATAAAAACACGCAAATCAAACAAAGACCACTTTACAGCTGTGTTTGTAGCCCTAACGGAAACTCTCACAAAAGTAAATATTTTAAAAGTAAATATTTGGTGGCCATATTTTACTTTGATAGTAAAATATGGCTACCACAATACAATCTTTTCAGATGTGACAGGAAGCACAGACCACAGGGTGGGGTCAGCCTCTACATCAAGGAGACACTCGTCTGAACTAAGCTGCTCAACACCACAAACAATATGGTGGAAGTGCTGATACTCAAAATAGAGATCCTAAATGTGGTTACGCCAGAGGCAAATCCTCAGCAGTTTAGAAACCAACTAATGAAAATAGAATACTGCTTAGAAAACCTTGCCAATTCAGCCCCAAACATCATGTTCCTTGGAGACTTCATCACACGACGCCTAAAATAGAAAAATGTAGCAAATACAGTTATATCTGAGAATTCCAGGAAGTAGCTAAAATGAACAATCCCACACAAGTAACCACTTAGGGATGAGTGACATGTGCCTTCAACCAGCAAACAGTAGACCCAATTAGAAAAGAACACACACTAGACCTTATTTACACCAATTACGGTGATCTAGAACATAATGATTACAAATACTTGTTACTCGGGTCACAACCTAACTGAAGTTCAGGCAAGCATGGGCCATCTTGCTCAGCCAGTCCCAAATCCAAGGAGGTTATCTTGAGACGATTTCCGGGCTTTAGTGTCCCCGCGGCCCGGTCCTCGACCAGGCCTCCACCCCCAGGAAGCAGCCCCGTGATAACTGAATAACTCCCAGGTACCTATTTACTGCTAGGTAACAGGAGCATCAAGGTGAAAGAAACTCTGCCCATTGTTTCTCGCCGGCGCCCGGGATCGAACCCGGAACCACAGGATCACGCGTCCAGTGTTCTGTCCGCTCAGCTGCCGGCTGAGGAGAATACAGGAAATTAAATTTTAATAATAAACATATTAACTGGGAACTAGTAAACCAAGACCTCGCAGAAATAAGCTGGGAAAAACAGCAGCTACAAAATGCAAATCTAAACCAATGCTTCGAAAAAAATAGACTCATTAGCTCAAGAAATATGCTCACGCCACACGTCACTAAGAAAGTAAAATGCAAATTGGATCGAGAATGACGTTCCCTCCAGAGGCGAGGAAAATAAATCGTGGAACAACTTGAAGGTCCAGATCCTTAGTGTGACTAGAACCAGGTCTTACGCCACTGACCCAACACATCCAAAACATTTACACTTTTCGTTGGAGGAGTATAGTCTCCAACGTTTGAGAGGAAGATATTAAAGAGGAAGTATATCCGTGAGTGGTCAGTTCTCACTGCTAGGGAGGGTGGAGGATACGCAGCTCGTGATCCCACTAAACCTATTTAATTCTTAAATTTACCTCCTCACCAGCCTAGCAAACAACATTTTCAACATATATATTTACCCAGTAAAATAACATTCATAATTGGAAAACCTGTACATTACATTCATAACTGGACTTTTGAATTTGGTGCTTGAATGCATAATGCCATTAATGCCATAATGCCATAATGCTTGAATGCCAATCCCCTACGTTCACCGTAATCCCTCCCTCACCCAGGACCTGCGACACCTCAGTCCTAACTACCCTTTAAAACGCTTGTTTCATAGTCATTGACCAGAGAGATACCAGTTACCAGATATTAATACCAATACTAGGAAAATAGTTTTTCTTTGCCCATTACTATGCTCGATAATTCCAACCTGACTATACGTCAATAATAAGCATTATTTTAACGCTACAAAGCACCACACTATGTTTAACACTTAGTGGACCAGCCGTAGGCTTCCTACCCGCCCTGGAATATCCCTGAAAAAAACAAACATGTATGGCCATCAACAGAAAACGGATTTTGTTAGCTAACAGCGGCATATTTTGACCGGACAAATACCCAAGAATGTAAGTAATATTAAATTCCTGAGCTCGGTCATGGACGGGGGTAATGCTTAATAAAACTCACCCCTCCTGACATACAACTGCTAGCTAACACCTGTTGCATACTCAACCGTCTACCAGCTGACAGCAAACACCTGTTGCATACTCAACCGTCTACCAGCTGACAGCTAACACCTGTTGAATACTCAACCGTCTACCAGCTGACAGCTAACACCTGTTGCATACTCAACCGTCTACCAGCTGACAGCAAACACCTGTTAATACTCCCTATGTTCTTTTGTTTTAGGGTTCTTCAGCCATAATACAAGACCTGTTGTACCATCTCTACGGCTTCCCACACCTGTAGCACTATCTCTACTGCCTCCCACACCTGTAGCACTATCTCTACGGCTTCCCACACCTGTAGCACTATCTCTACGGCTTCCCACACCTGTAGCACTATCTCTACGGCCTCCCACACCTGTAGTACTATTTCTACGGCCTCCCACACCTGTAGCACTATCTCTACGGCTTCCCACACCTGTAGTACTATCTCTACGGCCTCCCACACCTGTAGCACTATCTCTACGGCTTCCCACACCTGTAGTACTATCTCTACGGCCTCCCACACCTGTAGTACTATTTCTACGGCCTCCCACACCTGTAGCACTATCTCTACGGCTTCCCACACCTGTAGTACTATCTCTACGGCCTCCCACACCTGTAGTACTATTTCTACGGCCTCCCACACCTGTAATACTATTTCTACGGCCTCCCACACCTGTAGCACTATCTCTACGGCCTCCCACACCTGTAGCACTATCTCTACGGCCTCCCACACCTGTAGCACTATCTCTACGGCCTCCCACACCTGTAGCACTATCTCTACGGCCTCCCACACCTGTAGCACTATCTCTACGGCCTCCCACACCTGTAGCACTATCTCTACGGCCTCCCACACCTGTAGTACTATTTCTACGGCCTCCCACACCTGTAGCACTATTTCTACGGCGGCCTCCCACACCTGTAGTACTATTTCTACCGCCTCCCACACCTGTAGTACTATCTCTACCGCCTCTCACACCTGTAGTACTATCTCTACGGCCTCCCACACCTGTAGTACTATCTTTACGGCCTCCCCACACCTGTAATATTATCTCTACCGCCTCCCACCCCTGTAGTATTATCTCTACGGCCTTCCACACCTGTAGTACTATCTTTACGGCCTCCCCACACCTGTAATATTATCTCTACGGCCTCCCACCCCTGTAGTATTATCTCTACGGCCTTCCACACCTGTAGTGCTATCTCTACGGCCTCCCACACCTGTAATACTATCTCTACGGCCTCCCACCCCTGTAGTATTATCTCTACGGCCTCCCACACCTGTAGTATTATCTCTACGGCCTCCCACACCTGTAGTATTATCTCTACGGCCTCCCACACCTGTAGTACTATTTCTACCGCCTCCCACACCTGTAGTACTATCTCTACCGCCTCTCACACCTGTAGTACTATCTCTACGGCCTCCCACACCTGTAGTACTATCTTTACGGCCTCCCACACCTGTAATACTATCTCTACGGCCTCCCACACCTGTAGTATTATCTCTACGGCCTCCCACACCTGTAGTATTATCTCTACGGCCTCCCACACCTGTAGTATTATCTCTACGGCCTCCCACACCTGTAGATTTACCTCTACGGCCTCCCACACCTGTAGTATTATCTCTACGGCCTCCCACACCTGTAATACTATCTCTACGGCCTCCCACCCCTGTAGTATTATCTCTACGGCCTCCCACACCTGTAATACTATCTCTACCGCCTCCCACACCTGTAGTATTATCTCTACGGCCTCCCACACCTGTAATACTATCTCTACGGCCTCCCACACCTGTAGTATTATCTCTACGGCCTCCCACACCTGTAATACTATCTCTACGGCCTCCCACACCTGTAGTATTATCTCTACGGCCTCCCACACCTGTAATACTATCTCTACGGCCTCCCACACAAGCAGTATTATTTCTACAGCCATAATCTTAACAGCCCCCCTCTCCCTCAGGAGGACCACCACCCACAGAGTACCACCACCCACACACGACCACCACCCACGGAAGACCACCACCCACGGAGGACCACCACCCACGGAAGACCACCACCCACGGAAGACCACCACCCACGGAAGACCACCACCCACGGAGGACCACCACCCACGGAAGCTACCACCCACGGAAGACCACCACCCACGGAAGACCACCACCCACGGAAGACCACCACCCACGGAGGACCACCACCCACAGAGGACCACCACCCACGGAAGACCACCACCCACGGAAGACCACCACCCACGGAAGACCACCACCCACGGAGGACCACCACCCACGGAGGACCACCACCCACAGAGGACCACCACCCACGGAGGACCACCACCCACAGAGGACCACCACCCACGGAGGACCACCACCCACGGAAGACCACCACCCACGGAGGACCACCACCCACAGTGGACCAACACCCACAGAGGACCACCACCCACGGAAGACCACAACCCACGGAGGACCACCACCCACAGAGGACCACCACCCACGGAGGACCACCACCCACAGAGGACCACCACCCACAGAGGACCACCACCCACGGAGGACCACCACCCACAGAGGACCACCACCCACGGAAGACCACCACCCACAGAGGACCACCACCCACGGAAGACCACCACCCACAGAGGACCACCACCCACAGAGGACCACCACCCACAGTGGACCAACACCCACAGTGGACCAACACCCACAGAGGACCACCACCCACGGAGGACCACCACCCACAGAGGACCACCACCCACAGTGGACCAACACCCACAGAGGACCACCACCCACAGAGGACCACCACCCATAGAGCACCACTCACAGAGGACCACCACCCACAGAGGACCACCACCCGCAGAGGACCACCACCCGCAGAGGACCACCACCCACAGAGGACCACCACCCACAGAGGACCACCACCCACAGAGGACCACCACCCACAGTGGACCACCACCCACAGTGGACCACCACCCACGGAGGACCACCACCCACAGAGGACCACCACCCACAGTGGACCAACACCCACAGAGGACCACCACCCACAGAGGACCACCACCCACAGAGGACCACCACCCACAGTGACCACCACCCACAGTGGACCACCACCCACAGAGGACCACCACCCACAGTGGACCAACACCCACAGAGGACCACCACCCACAGAGGACCACCACCCACAGAGGACCACCACCCACAGAGGACCACCACCCACAGTGGACCACCACCCACAGTGGACCACCACCCACAGAGGACCACCACCCACAGAGGACCACCACCCACAGTGGACCACCACCCACGGAGGACCACCACCCACGGAGGACCACCACCCACGGAGGACCATCACCCATGGTGGACCACCACCCACAGAGGACCACCACCCACAGAGGACCACCACCCACAGAGGACCACCACCCACAGAGGACCACCACCCACAGTGGACCACCACCCACACACGACCACCACCCACACACGACCACTATACCCACAAAGGACCACCACCCACAGTGGACCACCACCCACAGAGGACCACCACCCACAGAGGACCACCACCCACAGAGGACCACCACCCACAGAGGACCACCACCCACAGTGGACCACCACCCACAGAGGACCACCAACCACACACGACCACTATACCCACAGAGGACCACCACCCACACAGAACCACTATACCCAAACAGAGGACCACTATACCCAAACAGAGGACCACTATACCCAAACAGAGGACCACTATACCCAAACAGAGGACCACTATACCCAAACAGAGGACCACTATACCCAAACAGAGGACCACTATACCCAAACAGAGGACCACTATACCCACACAGAGGACCACTATACCCACACAGAGGACCACAAACAGAGGACCACTATACCCTATACCCACACAGAGGACCACTATACCCACACAGAGGACCACTATACCCACACAGAGGACCACTAGGACCACTATACCCACAGAGGACCACACACAGAGGACCACTATACCCACACAGAGGACCACTATACCACACACAGAGGACCACTATACCCACACAGAGGACCACTATACCCACAGAGGACCCTATACACAGAGACCACTATACCCACAGAGGACCACTATACCCACAGAGGACCACTATACCCACAGAGGACCACTATACCCACACAGAGGACCACTATACAGAGGACCACACAGAGGACCACTATACCCACACAGAGGACCACTATACCCACAGAGGACCACTATACCCACAGAGGACCACTATACCCACTGAGGACCACTATACCCACACAGAGGACCACTATACCCACACAGAGGACCACTATACCCACACAGAGGACCACTATACCCACACAGAGGACCACTATACCCACACAGAGAACCACTATACCCACAGAGGACCACTATACCCACAGAGGACCACTATACCCACAGAGGACCACTATACCCCACAGAGGACCACTATACCCCACAGAGGACCACTATACCCACACAGAGGACCACTATACAGAGGACCACACCACACAGAGGACCACTATACCCACAGAGGACCACTATACCCACAGAGGACCACTATACCCACAGAGGACCACTATACCCACACAGAGGACCACTATACCCCACAGAGGACCACTATACCCACACAGAGGACCACTATACCCACACAGAGGACCACTATACCCACACAGAGGACCACTATACCCACACAGAGGACCACTATACCCACAGAGGACCACTATACCCACAGAGGACCACTATACCCACAGAGGACCACTATACCCACAGAGGACCACTATACCCACAGAGGACCACTATACCCACAGAGGACCACTATACCCACAGAGGACCACTATACCCACACAGAGGACCACTATACCCACAGAGGACCACTATACCCACAGAGGACCACTATACCACCCACAGAGGACCACTATACCCACACAGAGGACCACTATACCCACAGAGGACCACTATACCCACAGAGGACCACTATACCCACCCACAGAGGACCACTATACCCACACAGAGGACCACTATACCCACACAGGACCACTATACCCACAGAGGACCACTATACCCACAGAGGACCACTATACCCACAGAGGACCACTATACCCACACAGAGGACCACTATACCCACAGAGGACCACTATACCCACACAGAGGACCACTATACCCACAGAGGACCACTATACCCACAGAGGACCACTATACCCACAGAGGACCACTATACCCACAGAGGACCACATACCCACAGAGGACCACTATACCACACAGAGGACCACTATACCCACAGAGGACCACTATACCCACAGAGGACCACTATACCCACAGAGACCACTATACCCACACAGGACCACTATACCCACAGAGGACCACTATACACACAGAGGACCACTATACCCACAGAGGACCACTATACCCACAGAGGACCACTATACCCACAGAGGACCACTATACACACAGAGGACCACTATACCCACAGAGGACCACTATACCCACAGAGGACCACTATACCCACAGAGGACCACTATACCCACAGAGGACCACTATACCCACAGAGGACCACTATACACACAGAGGACCACTATACCCACAGAGGACCACTATATCCACAGAGGACCACTATACCCACAGAGAACCACTATACCCACAGAGGACCACTATGCCCACAGAGGACCACTATACCCACAGAGGACCACTATACCCACAGAGGACCACTATACCCACAGAGGACCACTATACCCACAGAGGACCACTATACCCACAGAGGACCACTATACCCACAGAGGACCACTATACCCACAGAGGACCACTATACACACAGAGGACCACTATACCCACAGAGGACCACTATACCCACAGAGGACCACTATACACACAGAGGACCACTATACCCACAGAGGACCACTATAACCACAGAGGACCACTATACCCACAGAGGACCACTATACCCACAGAGGACCACTATACTATACCCACAGAGGACCACCACAGAGGACCACTATACCCACAGAGGACCACTATACCCACAGAGGACCACTATACCCACAGAGGACCACTATACCCACAGAGGACCACTATACCCACAGAGGACCACTATACACACAGAGGACCACTATACCCACAGAGGACCACTATACACACAGAGGACCACTATACCCACAGAGGACCACTATACCCACAGAGGACCACTACTTGAACTATGTACACAGTGCTTTTCTACTTGAGATTTTGACTAACTTAAACAAGACGTATCATTATTGATGACGCAGCTTGCAACAGTCAACAAAAAAGTAACATTGTCACACAGAGCGATGCCAATAGTAGTGAATAGAGAGAGTTATTCCTACGCGCGACGATTTCGTACAAGTCCAACCAATTATTATCTTTCATCTACTGATGTTTATCAGGACAGAATGCTGAATAGATCAATTAGACCATTGCGTCATGTGTAAATTGAAGCTGCCAAGCAAGTCTATACCTCAATACATCCTGTATAGTTGTCAGTTTACTCAACTTGTAAATATCAACACGCAACAGTTGTCCACGTCAGTAAACCGCGGTACAGCATGTGTGGCTTTAATGACAAGTTTCCTGCACCTTGCCCCCTCACTGTCCGGCCCGATGATGCCGTAAGGGGGCTTGGTGGGCGGCTGCCGGAGTGTGATGCTCCATGGGACAGTCCTCTGACCTTTTGTGACCTTACGCTCTTGCTGCTGTCCTCACAAATTGTGCTGGACAACTTTTCCTTATGTTTTCGTTTTCCTCCCCCCCCCCCCCCCCCTCTCTTCTCCTTTCTAACTCATTTCCCGCCGACCTTTTGCCTGTTTTGATCATTCTTTCGGCCTTCTTTTGTTTTGACACCCGGGTGTTTGAGGAGGCATACTCTTGCACCCGTAGAACTGTAGCACCCAATGTCTCAAACGAGGGGAACCTTTTATTGACAATCCTCCTTTCGTCACTGAACCTGATCTCGACGGACTGATGGTTCTTAACGTGGCGTTTGTGGGACCTCACGACGCACCCCTGGGGGACCCCAGCAAGATTGGCAATAAGTCTCTTATTGGGTGTCCTGCCTCTAATTGTGGCTCTGTGGTGGGTATGGGGGCATATTCGTGAATGAGAATCTTGCCTCTCATTTTCATGTCGATAAATACCATTCCTTTTATGACTTCTCAGGCTCGTGGGGTGGGCGACCAATCCCCCAAGTCGGACTGTGTTGGAAGACCGAGCTCCGTAGCCCGCGCTACATTGGTCCCAGACCTAGCTCCTCCTTTGACCCTCCTGACTACTCCCCCCTCTGTGGTTGGGTCGAGCTCTACGCCCCCAGCGGTGACCACCTCGTCCCCTGGTGCGGCTCAGTCTCTCATTGTGACTACTGCACCTTTTAACCCCTCTCTCTCTCTATAGGAGTTTTCAATGCTGTCCCTGCCACAACCGCACTCGCAAGATCCCTTCCCATACTAATACGTACCAAGCCTTGTTTGGATCTGCTTAATGGGCTAAATACTTTGATCTCCTCCCTCTGGATTCTACACCTAACGATTTCTCACTCCATAAACACCTTGTTGATTCCGTGGATGCCTCTGTTACTTTTTAACCCCACCTGTTTAGGTACACCTGTCGTCGCTGCTCTTTCACCGGATGTGCTACACATTTAGCCGAATTGTCCTGCATTGGGGAGAACCCTGTTCAGGTCTCCAAAAACGCCCGGTTAAATGCCAGTGTTGGCACTGTTCTCCTCCTGCACCATGTTGCAACTGGTGTTATGGACCTAAAAGACTGCCATGAGGATATTAAACATATCCTCGAAGCCCAAGGCCATCCTGTCCTCCAGGTAGACATGTTCATTCGACCCCTCGTGGTCGTCGCTGTCAGCCCCTTCGAGTTGTGAAAATCAACTTTGATAGTAGGACCCTTCTGCCCTCTATAATTCTTGCTGGTGCCAGATGCTCCATTCAGGAGTACATTCCCTCTCCTAGACTTTGCAGTAAGTGCTGGAAGTTTGGGTATGGTGTCCTCAAATGTTCAAGTACTGTGTATCTATGCCCCACGTGTAGGGCCAATGATCACACTAAACCCAATTGCACTTCTCCCCAGGCCCGCTGCCTCAATTGCGGTGAGGCCCACCCTACCTTCTCCCGCTCATGTATACACTACAAACTTGAGGAAGCCGTCCTCAACTTGAAACACCGGGATCGTCTGCCTTTTTCTGAAGCAAGATGCCAAATTCGCTGTCTCACCCCTTTCGCTGGCATATCCTACACTCGCATGTTGCGTTCTACCTCTCCTCATCCTTCCCACCTTACTCAGTCTCACAACCGTTTCCAGATCTTAGACCCGGACACCCCCACCACCTCCACCCCTGTTCCTTTACATTCTGTTTCGAAGGGGCCCCTCTCCTGGTTCTTCATCTAAAGTTTTTCCCATTCCTACCCAGTCTGCCATGTCTCCTGTGTCTTCTTTCCTTTCTTACCCCAATCCTTCCCATCCCTCCCCCCCAGTCTCTTGGCCTTCCATGCTGCCAGGCTGATGTCCATCACCCTCCTAGCAATCTCCATGCTGTTCACTCCCGTTCATCTTCTCCTGTTGAGACAATTGAATCTGTCGCCCAGTATGTTGTTGCTGGAACACCTGTCTCTTGAGTCAGAAACGTAAGCCTGGCTTCTCTCATTTGTCCTCCTGGCAGGTAAGAAGGCATCGCTTTCTTCCTCACCTCCCACCTCTGACTCACTCTCTGTCCCCTTCCATTTCGGTGGTCCGGCCCCCTGTCCCAGTTATGGAGGTTTCTTTAACTCCTGATTCCCTCTCAGTTTCTGCCTTTCCTGAGGTACACTCCCCAGTTCCTGCCCCATCCCTCTCCTCCTGCTGTCCTTGACCTCCCCTCTCAGTTGTCTCCTCCTCCTCCGGACCCTGCCTGTCTGCCTCTGGTCTGTCTTCCCACTCCCTTCACTCAATCCTTACTCAGTTTACCCATGCCCCCTAACCCTGATTTTATTGACCCTGATCCTGAGCTTACTTAATATATTGTGTTCTTCTTTAACTTTGTTTCTTCATTGCTCTCTGTTGCTGTCCTTTCTCTTTTTGATCTTCTGATTTTGATTTCTTCTGATTTGATCTTTTGATTTTTGATCGTCTATTCTTCAATGGAATATTCGTGGATTTTATGCCAACTTCCATGAACTCCAACTTCTGATTACAGTTTTCACCACTTTGTGTTTGTCTCCAGGAACCGATGCTTGGTGCTCGTCCTGGTCACTTTCGTGGTTAGTCTTTTCTTTCTTCTCCCACTCGCAGTTCTTGCTTGAGCCCATAATTCTACTGCTCTCTTGATTCGTACTGATACTCCCTTCGTCCCCCTACTGTTTCCATCGCCTATCCATTGTTCTGCTGCTCGTGTTTTTGTGGGTATACAGTCTGTTCCATTTATCTCGCCCAAATGTCCTGCTTTCCCTTCCTGATCTTAAGCATCTCCTGGACTCCTTGCCAGAGCCAGTGCTCCTGTTGGGTGATTTCAACTGTCGACATATCCTCTGGGGTGATGTTCTAACAAACACACACGATCGCCTTCTCGAACCATTCGTCCTCTCTTCTTCCCTGTCTCTTCTGAATTCTGGTGAGCCCACCCATGTAGACTCTCTAACTCGCACCCTTTCCTGTCTTGATCTTTCTCTCTGCTCGTCGTCCCTTTACTTAGATCTCACGTGGCAGGTTCTTGATGACCTCCATAACAGTGACCATTTCCTCATCCTTATTTCCTTTTTCTCTTTTCACCCTCTCCTCTCCTTCCCTAGGTGGCAGTTTGCCAAAGTTGACTGGAACCTATTCATCCTCCGTGCTACTCTCACTGACCTCTTCTCTCTGCCTCTTCCTCGCGCCCTCCTCCTTTTTCACGACACCATCTTCGATGCCACCCTCCGCTCTATTCCTTGCTCTACCTCCCGGGGCATGTGGAAGTGCATTCCCTAGTGGAATGCGAACTGTGCTCGGGCTGTCCGCTGTAAGCATGCAGCTTGGAAGAAACACCGACACTGACAGACGGCTGATTTTTTTTTTATTTTGTTTCGAAAAGCGAGTGCGGTGGTCCTTACTTCGCAGGACCACCACACTTGCTGCACCGGACCACGAGTTGGAAGTCTTAGGTTTCCACTATTACGTCCGATATTCCTTTACCGCAGATCTGGAAGAAGATCTGCAAGATTGCGGGTAAATTCGTTCCAGACATCTCGCCGGTTCTTCACCCCCATGGTTCTCTTGTGGCGGACCCAGTGCAGGTTGCGACCAAAATAGGTTCCTACTTTTCTTCTGTTAGCTCTGGTTCTCATCTTCCTCAATCCTTTCTTCTTCGTAAGCCCGTTCTTGAATTTCATCCCTTAGATTTCTGCACTCATCTCTGACTTTCCTATAACGATCCCTTCTCTCTCTCTCTGAACTAAAGTCTGCCCTGGCCCTCTGCGGTTCTATGGCAGCAGGCTCGGATGACATTCATTATGAGATGCTTCGTCATTTCCCTCCTTGCACATCTTGGTATTTACTGAGTCTGTATAACCAGGTCTGGGAGTCGTCGTCAGTCCCTGAGGACTGCCGACGACACTCGATGCCACTGTACTTCCAATTCAGAAACCGGGGTCTCTCGGGAGATTCCCTAAGGACTTCCGCCCTATTGCCCTCGAGTTGTGTCTGCAAACTCTTTGAGCGTATGGTAAATGTTCGTCTGATGTGGTTCTTGGAACACCATCACCACCTCTCTCCTTCTCAATTTGGTTTTAGCAAATGCCGCATCACAACAGATGTCCTGGTGAACTTGGAGGTCCATATTCGTACTGCTTTTGCTGCGAAGACCTCTGTTGTTGCTGTCCTTTTTGACCTGGAAAAGTCTTATGATACAACCTGGAGATACCATATTCTATCCCAACTTTGTTCTTTTGGCCTTTGTGGTAATCTCCCTCTCTTCCTCCAAAGCTTCCTCTCTTGTCGTCCCTTTTGAGTCAAGCTTGGTACCACTCTCTCTGACTCTTTTCGGCAATACGAAGGTGTACCCCAAGGTAGTGTTCTGAGCACTACTCTTTCTAGTTACTCTTAATGGTCTTCTTTCCTCCCTTCCTCCTGGCATCTTCTGCACTGTTTATGTCGACGATCTTACTCATTGCTGTCGAGGTGATGATTCGCCTCTCCTTCAATGGCAGCTTCAACTTGCGATTGATGCTGTGTCGTCTTGGGCCACCAATCATGGTTTCAAGTTCTCTGCAACTAAGACTTGTGCTATGACCTTTACTCGAAAGCATGTCGTCCTTTACCTTCTTTGTCACTTTATGGTCATCCCCTTGTGTACAAAGATTCTGCAAAGCATTTGGGGTTAATCTTTGACACTCGTTTGTCTTGGTCGCCCCATATCTCTTACCTCCGAGTTGAATGCTCTAAGGCTCTTAACCTACTTAAGGTTTTGTCCTATACTTCTTGGGGAGTGGATAGGTGCATGCTCCTCTATTTGCACTCCTTTCTTGTTCTGTCTAAACTCGATTTTGGTTGCCTTTCATACTCTTCTGCTTCTCCTTCTACTCTTCGTCGTCTTGATTCTTTGCACCATACTGGGTTGCGCCTCAGCTCCGGTGTCTTCCGGTCAACTTCTACCCTCATCTTGTACGCTGACACTGGCTTCCTATCTCTTCAGGACCGCCGTGATCGCTACTGTGTTTTCTATCTTGCACGATCCTTACAACATCCTCTCTCTCGCCTCTGTCGTAATTGGACTTTTACCCCTCCTGTAGGTCTTGTTCTGCTTCACCACCTTCCTCATTTTGTCCATTTGTCTTGCTTACAATATTCTCTTTCGGTTCGTATTACCAATGTTTCTCCTCGTATTGTTCCGTCCTTGCCCCAGTGGAGGGTCCCCCTTCCCAAATTTTGTACTTCCCTGGCCAGCATAACTTAAGCTTTAACCCCTCCTACAGTTCTGAAACGCCTTTTCCTTGAGCACTTTTCTTCACACTCCCACTCCGTTTCCATCTTCACCGATGGGTCTAAGTCTGCTGACGGTGTGGGTTACTCTGTTGTTTTTCGTGACCGCACTTATATTTGTTGCCTACCTCCGAAGTCTAGCGTCTTTACAGCAGAACTTTATGCTATTCTCTATGCTCTTCGTCTTCTGCTTTCTCGTTGTCAATCCTCCTTTGTGGTGGTAGTTGACTCTCGTAGTGCCCTCATGGCTTTGGGGGCCTTTTATCCGATCCACCCAGTGGTCATCGAGATTCAACATTTGCCGTTTCTTATCTACAGTAAATTTAAGTCGGTAGAGTTTTGCTGGGTTCCCAGCCATGTTAGTGTCTCTTTAAATGAGCGTGCGGACGCTGCTGTGTAGGAAGCTATCCACACTTGTCCCATTTCCTGTAAAGGTATTCCTTATTCTAACTTTTACCCAGTTATTCATTTCTCCATCCTTGCCCGTTGGCAGGGTTGTTGATCTTCTGTTACTGGTAACAAACTGCATACTCTTAAGCGTAGTGTGCCCCCGTAGGCTTCCTCCTACCACTGTAACCGGCAGTGGGAAACAGCTCTGGCAAGGTTGCATATTGGCCATACTCACTTAACTCATGGACACTTAATGGAGCGCCGCCCTGCTCCGTATTGTGCAAATTGTATTGTCCCTCTTACAGTCGTGCATATCCTTGTTGAATGTCCTGACTTCCAGGAAGAGCGTTTGTCGTGTATTCCGACCGTCCCTCGCAGTCACTTGTCTCTGGATAGAATTCTTGGGTGAATCGGTTTCTTTTGATATCGTTCGCCTTATGCGTTTCTGTTCTCGTATTGGCATCCTTGGTGATATTTAGCGCCCTCTGATTATTCCGCACATTTGATGGTGCTACACAGCCTTCCCGGTTTAGTGCCTTCTATTGATTATTGCTTACTTCCTCCACCTTGGTAATATATATTTGATCGAGTCCTTAATGATGCGCCAAACGTGCACTGCTACACAACACCCGCTATATGAAGAATCTACTCATCAAGAACGCAGCAAGTTCAACAACTCATCACAAACGGCCACACACTAACTGAATTTAAAGTTACAAATTGCCAAGGGCTAAAAATTACGTTTAAGCCAATGGTTGGAGGGACGCAATTATGTGAGGGTGTTGGCCACGTCTGGCGGTAATCCCCAGCCCGTCCTGCTAAAGCTCCCAAGTGCCTGCTGCTTCGTTTCGTCCTAGACGGACGTTAAAGAATTCTTGTCCCAGAAATCCGCCCATTAGCTGAAGTTACACACAAAACAATGTTGTGAGAAATTAAATGTGTGATATTATATATATATATATATATATATATATATATATATATATATATATATATATATATATATATATATATATATATATAATGTTGTACCTAGTACCCAGAACGTCGTATTCGGCCTACTATGCAAGGGGCCAATTTGCCTAATAAGCCAAGTTTTCCTGAATTTATATATATTTCTAAATTTTTCTTATGAAATGATAAATCTGTTCATGTCATTATGTATAAGTTAATTTGCTTAAATTTTGGTTAAAACTAACGTAGATATATGGCCGAACCTTACCAACCCTACCTAACCTAACCTAACCAATCTTAACCTAACCTAACACAAATAAACTAATAATTTATGTTCTTAATATATAATAATAATAATAATAATTCAAATAAACTAATTGGAAACAATTTATTTAAAATAAAGAAAATCACTCAGCCTATTAGGCAAATCGAGCCTTGCATAGTAGGCCGAGAAGTGCGTTCTGGCTACTAGGTACGAGATTATATATATATATATGTCGTACCTAGTAGCCAGAATGCACTTCTCGGCCTACTATGCAAGGCCCGATTTGCCTAATAAGCCAAGTTTTCCTGAATTAATATATTTTCTCCAATTTTTTCTTATGAAAGGATAAATCTATCCATTTCATTATGTATGAGGTCAGTTTTTTTTATTGGAGTTAAAATTAACGTAGATATATGACCGAACCTAACCAACCCTACCTAACCTAACCTATCTTTATAGGTTAGGTTAGGTTAGGTAGCCGAAAAAGTTAGGTTAGGTTAGGTAGGTTAGATAGTTGAAAAACAATTCATGAAAACTTGGCTTATTAGGCAAATTGGGCCTTGCATAATAGGCGGAGAAGTGCGTTCTGGCTAAGAGGTACAACATATATATATATATATATATATATATATATATATATATATATATATATATATATATATATAGATATATATATATATAGATATATATATAGAGATATATATAGAGAGAGAGAGATAGATAGAGAGAGAGAGAGAGAGAGAGAGAGAGAGAGAGAGAGAGAGAGAGAGAGAGAGAGAGAGAGAGAGAGAGAGAGTGAGAGTGAGAGTGAGAGTGAGAGTGAGAGTGAGAGTGAGAGAGAGAGAGAGAGAGAGAGAGAGAGAGAGAGAGAGAGAGAGAGAGAGAGAGAGAGAGAGAGAGAGAGAGAGCTGCGTGAACGTGCAAGCCATAGATCACTAAGAATTCTATTTGACCCGGCCAGGATTCGAAGCCATGCCGTCCAGAATCACCCCTAAACGTACCCAGTACCATGACCACCGCACCAATGACCGTCGATCATCGGCCCGCCTCTCAACTATCAATAAATCAACTGTTACTAACTACTAATTGTTTTCTCTCTCTCTCTCTCTCTCTCTCTCTCTCTCTCTCTCTCTCTCTCTCTCTCTCTCTCTCTCTCTCACACTCACACTCACACACACACACACACACACACACACACACACAGAAGCGATAAAAGAAAGAGTGAGTGAAGTAGATCCTGACATAGTTGCAACAGTGGAAACTAAAATAAATGACATGATCTCGGATGCAATCTTTCCAGAGGGCTACCAGGTGCTAAGAAAAGAGAGGACACAGAGACAGAGAGGGGGAGTGGCACTCCTAATAACGCGGAAATGGTAGTTCGAAGACCTGGGAAATCAGGTTGCCAAAGAGAGCACAAGCTCCATACATGGAACTCTGACAGCAGATGGGAGGAAGATTGTGATCTTGGTAATCTTCAATCCCCCACCAAACAGTAGAAGACCCAGGCAGGAGTATGATAATAACAAGGCATGTATAGATGAACTGCAGAAGGCAGCAACATTAGCTCACAGAATGAGAGCGAAGCTGCTGATCATGGGGGACCTAAATCATGGAGAGATAAATTGGGAATCAAGGAATCCCCATGGAGGGGATGAAATGTGGGAAGCAGAGTTAGTA